ATTCGACGAAAAATCGAGAAATAGCTAAAAAATTGGACTGCACAATTATTTACGTGTTTGTAGAAATCCGAAGTATAGAGTAAGAAAAGCAGGGACCCCAGGACTGAACCTTGTGGTACACCAGATTTGATTTGAATGGATGTTGATTTCTGACCGTTTACTGTAACTAACTGTGATCGTTTACTTAAGTATGTTTTTATGAAACCTAATGAAATTCTATCAAATCCATAATATTGACACTTGGATACAAGAAGACTATGATTAAGGGTGTCAAACGCTTTGCTAAAATCTAGTAGAACTAGGACACCTGCTTCTTTCTTATCAATACTGTTGAAAATATTGTCACTTAAATGTGCCAAAGCTGTTGAAGTACTGAAACCCTTTTGAAAACCCGACTGATGCAAAGGGATTATATTATTTTCACAAAGATATTCGTATATTTGGAAATAGGATGCAAGTTCAAGAATTTTTGAAATCGGGATGTAATCGTGATATTAAAAATTACAGAGGAATATGTTTGCAATCTAACATTCCAAAAATTTTCGATTCACTCATTACAGAATATTTGTCATGGGAATTTAAAGGGCTAATAATTGATCAACAACATGGTTTTTCACAAGGAAAATCTACAGTAATTGCCTCGTTAAGTTATCAAAATGAAATATTGAGTGCTTTTGAAGGGGGGTATCAAGTACATTCTATCTATACTGACTTCTCAAAAGCATTCGATAGAGTTAACCATGAATTGTTGATCGCCAAGTTGAGCTCATATGGTATCAATGGTAAACTTTTAAATTGGCTATCTAGTTTTTTAATTGGTAGGTATCAGTGGGTCAAAATTGGGAATCACATTTCTTATTTGATTGAAGTATTGTCTGGTGTTCCTCAAGGATCCCATTGTGGTCCGCTTCTTTTTAATCTATTTGTAAATGACATTGCATGTTGTATAAAAAAGTCTCAGTTCCTACTATTTGTAGATGATTTAAAAATCTTTAAAATTGTTGAAAGTATATCTGATTGTTTTGATTTACAGACTGATATTAACAACCTAGCATTGTGGTGTAATGTAAATTGTATGAATTTGAATTTAAGTAAATGTTTTTATATTAAGTTTAATAGGTGCCATACTATTATAGACTATACTTATTGTACCAATTCATTAGATCTTGAATTGGTGACCCAAATAAAGGACCAGAACACATTACAATGATATCATTAAAAGCCAGAAAATTGTTGGGTTATATACAAAGAATCTCTAATGATCTCTCAATAAATTCTTTTAAAATTCTTTATTGCACTCTTGTTCGTTCTAATATGGAATATGCAGCACATTAATAAACTTGAAATGGTTCTACATAAGTTTCTGAGATGCTCTCTCAGCATATAAATTAGGAGTGCGTATAAATAATTATGATTATGCTAACATATGTTCCAGATTAGAGATCACAACTTTGCAGAACCGGAGAACTCAATTAGATCTATGCTTCCTATTCAAACTTTTGTCTGGGTCAATATATTCTCCTGATATTTGATTAAAAATTGGTCTTAAAATTAATAGTGCAACCAGAGCTAATGAAACTTTTTTTATTAGACACCATAGACAAAATTACTGCTTTTATAGTCCATCAACACGATTGGTTAGGAATGCTAACAGTATAGAAATAGACTTGGATTTTTTTGGTTCATCATATCCTTCATTTATTGCTATGCACTTGCTTAATGACACTTGAAAGTACTGTTATTGTCTGCCTTGTTGTTTTTTATTTTGTATTTGTGCATATAACATATATTTTTATATTTTTTATTGTAAAAGAAATAGAGGAAGTAGACTTATTGGACGCAGTTCATTGTATGAACTAGGATTGTGCTTTTTAGGTAAGGGTATTATCAAAGCTTGTCTCCAACATTCTGGGAAATATCCTTGTTCTAAACATAAGTTTATAATATGTAGCAGATAAACATCAATAATATTTAGACACAATTTTAACATTGACATGTTTATATTGTCATTACCACCAACATTTGATTTCATATTCAAAATGATAGTGTAGAGTTGAGATAGTTTTATTGTTTTGAAGTGAAATTTAATATCTCTACTAAAGGAGTTACTTTTATAGAATAAAATTGAATCTAAGCATCTTTCATTACTGTCTTGGAACACAGAGGAAAAATATTCATTAATTTTAAAAGGATTTGAAAGTGAGGAAGGTAAATCGATATTTTTTGTCGATTGAATTTTCATTTATTTTAGCGCTTTGTAAAATTTAGAAGACGACTTGTTTAAAAATTCTAGATACACAGATTTTTTTAGTCTCAAGGATGTCAAAGCAAAGTTGCGAAGTCTTTTGTAATTGTTCCAGTTTTCAGTGGAATTATTTAATTTTAATTTTTTTAAGGCATTATCTTGTTCTTTAAATATGAGTTTTAATGTAGGACAAGGTGCTTTAGGTTTACTTATTCTAGATGTTCGAAAAGGAGCGTGTTCATCGAAAATTGTAGATATTGCATCTGTTAAATAGTGTACCTTACTTTCAATATCATTAAGATACAGAAGGTTATCCCTCGGGTTATCCCCAATGAATACTGCATAGGCATTGCTCAAAAACTGAAGAATCAAAGGTCTGATAATCTCTATAAGTTAAAAATCTTTGTTTCTGATAACTATAATCAATTAATAAATCACAATATACCATTTGGTGATCGGTGAAATGATCAACATTTATAGTACCATGGCTTGTGCAATTATTGGAACAGTTTAAAAAAATTGGATCTATTAATGTAGAGGAGTGATCAGTAATGTATGTAGGCTCGTCTATGACTTGAGTGAGGCTATGGGCATTAAAACACGAAATTAATGAATTTGTACTGTTAAAAAGATCCACATTAACATCCCCAAGAATTAAAATTGTATCACAACTTGTAAGTATGATTGGTAAAATATTATCTAAACAATGTATAGCTTGATTTAAATTTTTCCGCGGTGGTCTGTACAACACTCCAACACAGAAAGTATCATTAATTTTAAAATTTATCCATAAATGCTCTAAATTTGTATCCAAACAGGCCAAAGGCCTTATTACATGGATAAAAGTATCATAATACATAAATATTAATAATAAGCAGTAGGTAATTACAACTTATTTAGTATTAAAATTAATTAAGAGTAATGTAATAATTAAATACAAGTGTTAATATTAAATTAGTAGAACAGCTTTTTGTACAAGTCTTATTTCAGGGGGCATTTATATTCCACCATCTAAAGACAATCGAATAGTAAGCTTTTAACATGTGGAGATTATAATTTACTGAAGGCAACTTGGTATAATAATTTGGGATTGTAACTTGCCTGATCATAGCTTGAGACATCTCCTCAATCTGGGCAGGCGTTTGTTTGCCACTCGGGGATGGATCAGAGTCGAAAATAACTTGAGCACAAGGATATTTCCATAAGCTAAAATCTGCGTATACAGGCAAAATATCAACTGGTACAACATTCGGTTTGCTATAATGCTTATCGATAACCAATTTAGTATCATCGAATGTTTTTTCAATGGCTTTAATTTGAGAATCTCTGTCCATATACAAAGTTTCATTGTTAAGTGACTTTTTAATACTGTAACCAACTTTTGCTTCCACTTTGTCCATGGTTTGAGGTTGAAATCTGGTCTGTTCTGTAGAGATATACTCAGTTCTTCTAAGCCATGATACTGATTTAGCATGGTGGCGTGATCTCTTAGAATCTTGAGGCGTCAAAATATCTTCTTCTAATAACTTTTCATCTGCTGGATCTAAAGTAACTCCTGAACCAATGGCATATATATCCTTATTAATAAGGTCTATATTAACACCTAAATCGTGTTCAGTTAATACCTCATATTTGTAATTACGTTCTAATGATGTTGGATTGTATTGAATGAACCTTAAAAATTGCTTTTCAGTTATATCTTTATTATCAGTTATTTATCAACTTACCTTATTGATTCGAATGGATATGATATAAATTTTAAATCAAAGGGAATATCTGGTAACGTATTACAATATTTAACTTTGCACAACAGATCGGACCTAAAATATTGTTTATTTTTATTAATTATTACAAAATTTCCAAAATTTACCTTTTTTCTATTGTTTTCACTGGTCTTTTTTCTACTCCATTTGTAGCATTTTGATTATTCTGTTGAATAGTAGGAGGCATTTTTATATTTTATTACTAAAATATAGTAAATTTTATATCTTCAAAATATCCATTTATTCTTGCTACGCGAAAAATTACAACCTAAATATCACCATAAAACGCATAAAACAGAACTACGCTCTAGAACTACGAGTGACACTGACAGCTGACAACTGATTTTAGAACTGAACAACGAACTATAGGCAAGTTCGGTCAGTCAGGGGCTGGAGCGGGACAAATTTTAGGGTGCTTTTAAATGACATTTAAGCGTGTTAAACTGTCACTAATCGGACTAAACCGAACGCTAAAAGAGTCGTTTGGAGTTAAAAGTGTTAAAGGAGTTAAAGAAACGTGGCAAACCGAACGCAATGTATGCAACGAACAACGAGTGCGTTTAGAAACCTTAAGGGCGGCTCAAGGAGGGGGTCTATAGGGGCCAAGTTGCCGCCATATTTGCAAAGTTGCAGACGTTCTGTAAGGCTCGTTCCAAGGTCGTTTTAGAATTGCTTCTTTAACGGCCATCTTTATCGTAAATAAAGATGACCGTGTTCCTTTCTAACTAGTTTCGAATAAAATTAGTTTCTCCGCGAACGCAGAATTAGCACCAAGAGTTTTTGTAAGCGCAAATTCTTATCATTGCGACGGACGTACGCCATTTACAGTTACCATGTATGATTCATTTATGGTAGATTTATGTCAAATGTCAGTAATTCATGTCACATCTCACAGAACATATATTTTATTTTATGTATTTCAGGGTTATGTTATTACAAATAATATAAAATACATATTTATTTAATTTTATGTATATAAAGAAAAATAAGCAATGGACAAAGTTGGAGCTGAAGTTGGTCAAAAAATGCGGGTGAGCCGGTACAAATAGTATATTTATATTACGTAGAAACATTAAATTAATAAATGGCCCAGTTGTCATAAGTAAAAGAAAACCTAGGTAATGTAGGCTTCAATATCTTTCAAAAAGAATATCTACAATAGTAAACAAAATACATTAACAGTGCTGTAGAAAGTATATAGGTGTGGGTAGTAGAATATTATGCAACTACCTTATAATGTTGGCTATTAATACACCAACAAAAAGTAACCACAGTAGCCTTACCTTGTTATATTAGCCATTACAATTGCATGCACTATTTTGTCTACGAATATTTATAAATAAACTGCAGATTATACAGTAATCTTGTAGTTTACAGTTATTTTAATGCAAGAATACCTAACATACCTGGGATCATTTTTTTGTTTTTTTTTTAATATTACTTTAATAACTTATATTATTCTTTATCCGAATCAAAACCAGTTTGATTATTATGACATGTCAGCATTCTTTACCCTCATAAACACTTAGTACATTGCTCTAAAACCATTTTACACATCAAAATCGAACCAACAATAAGGAAGTTAGACTATACCATAAATGAATTTATGGCATTCATGAATTGCAAGTCTTATCTTTCATTCCCTAAAACTGAGATCTTTTAATCTGAATCTGTTTTTTTTTACATTCTTGTAATGACCTCCTTTAAATATCTTGGTCCCCAATATTTTTTTGAGTCATGGGTTTCCAAAATTAGAGGTAAATATTTTAATAGTGTATTATGTAGGTGAAAATAGGAGAAAGTTCCTAAAAATATGTATTCGAAAATGGCTTGTAAGGGACCAATGACTCTAAAAAGAACCCCTTAATGATGGTTTTCTTCAAATTTTGGATTTATCTTAAAATTGATATTCTAAATGTGACAACAGTTCAAAAACTTTATCTTTCTAACTGGGACACCACAACTAAAGGAGAGTGGTATAAAAATATACTAAACATTTTTAATCCTCTACATTTTATTATTTTTGAGAACATATAAAATTTAAGACAATTTTCTTTGATAAAATTGATAGTATTTCAAAAATTACTGAAGCCATTGTGATAATTTTTTTAATTTTAGTCTGCAATTAAAGCCAAACTTCTTGAATTAAATTGTTATGTGGGTAAGTTTTCATATTTTTTAAATTTATATTGCGTTTATTCATTTTTTTTTTAATTATATTTTAGATGATGAATTACCTGATTATATAATGGTAATGGTAGCAAACAGACGAAACAAGATGCAAATGAAAGAAGATTTAAATCTATTTTTGAACACTAAAACCGAAGCTTTCGTGGATTGGCTTCATATCGTTCTAAAAAAACTCAAAGAAGTAACAGTCACAAATCCAGGTATTATTTTGTATTCAATATTAAAAAAAGTTAACTATTGAACAAGCTTTTTTATATTTATTATACAGAATAAAGTATAAGAAAATTAAACTGTAAATTCCTAATTTTATGTAATAATAATAATAATAATAATTATTGTTATTTATTGAACTGAAAATTCAGTCCAATAGGCTATCGACCGAAGTCCTTCCTATTGTACTGCATACAAATGGGGTTATAAATATTTTATATAACAGATAAATTTTATATCTAAATTAAAAGTGTTACTTGACAGATTGTTTACAGTCATAAATGTGATTAAATACCGTTATTGTTATCCTCTTGGAATTAGTCTGATATCAGAGCTTGACCTCTGGAATTTTCATATCTCCATCTGAGGCTCCCTAAATCATTTTTAACGCCATGTTGCCAAGTCTAAGAGGACACTAGTAAAAATCGCCTGTCTGGCCACAAAACGTCTTATGTACTTATTTGGCTATTTATATTGTAACTATTAAGATTTTGACCTAAAGATTTTGTTAGTTTTGTTGTTAACGATTAATAAAATGTGCTAAACATTAGCTCTTACTTATATGTTATTATTAAAAATTGTTGTAGAAGTTTATAAAATAGCAATAAAGAGGAAATCAAGCGAACAAGAAGAAGTAAAAGTTCAAAAAGAGAAGAAATTTAAAAAACCTCTTAATAGTGTAAAAAAAGAAGAAGATATAGCCGAAAATAGACGAGAAGATAAGACTAGTGATGAATTTGATATTCCACTACTATCCGAGGTTAATTCGTCTAGTGAAAAAGATTTAGAAGAAATCGAAAGAAAAATTAGAAGTGTTAAAAGTCGATTAGGTATATTGGTTGACGAACCTGAAGTTGAAGCAACTGTTGTTCAACTGCAAACAGGTAAATATAATAATAATTATTATTATTCGTCTTTAAGACGTACATATTTAAAATATTTTAAAAAGGTTAAAAAATGTATAAACATATAAGACCTATTAGCCTTGTCAACACATACAATTTTAAAAAGTAGAGATATGCTACAATTGAGTTAAAATAAAGTAAAAATTAAAAATAGTGTACAATAGGGCAAAAACATTAGACAATAATTATTATAATAAAGAGATACCATTATGGATCACCGAATATCATTCATAAATTCTGCATAGGAATAATGTGTTTTGGGCGAAAGATATTCATAAAGCTTATTTTTGAATACATTAAAGATTTTTTCATTACCATTGACTTATATCTATTAAAACATGCAACACCTCAGTAGATTTCGGAATCCTTATCAAAATCAAATCAAAATCATTTATTCACCATAAAAGTACATTCATTCACATAATAAATGCCACTTATCAGGCCATTCAATTAAAAACATTATAGTTAATTAAAATTAAAATTTAAAAGCATTACATAGTAATTATTATACTTATACATATAACTTAATTTTACTTACACCGACAGTTACTAATTTAAAAGAACGAACATAAAATTTAAAAATTAGAAAGACCAGGATAAGGATTATGATAGCTCTTCATTGTGTGGTTCAAAAATTGAGAAATTCTTCAATATTATAAAATGTGTTATTGTGAAGGAAGTTAATAATTTTATTCTTTATGCCGTTCCTTGGGCCGACTAAATCAATATGTATTTTAATTTTATTGTAACACTTAACCCCTATATAATTGGGAGAATTCTGGCTCACTCTCAGTCTTGAGAAGGGTACATGGATCTCTTCATTATGGCGGGTGTTGTATGTGTGAATTTCATTGTTTAATATGAATTGGTTCTTATTATCATATATATGCAGTATTAATTGTAAGATATATAAAGAATGCACTGTTAGAATCTCATATTTTTTAAATAGATTTCGGCAACTTGCTAATGGATGAGCTCTATCCATACATCTAACAATTTTTTTCTGTGTGATGAACGCTTTATCTATGTGTGAGGAAGAACCCCACATCAACAAGCCATACTGCAACTGAGATTGCACTAGTCCAAAATATAATATTCGCAATATATTTGAGGAGACTTTATCCCTAAGATTTCTCAAAATGAAGCAAGTACTACTCAGCTTTGAGCATAGCTTATCGATATGAAGTTCCCATGTTAGTTTAGGATCGAGAGTTACACCTAAGAATTTCATTGATAGAGTACTTTCTATTGATTTTCCAGAGAGTTTAATTAATAAGTCTTCATCAGGAGCAATATTTTTAGTTAAAAATCTCATATATAAGGTTTCCTCACAATTTAATTGGAGACCGTTTTCCTTACAGTATTTTTCAAATTCCAATGTGACGTTACTTCCATTTTCTACTAGGTTATTGACACTTTTCTCAGACAGTATCACATTGGCATCATCCGCATAAAAAACAGCTTTATCTGATGTTTCACAGATACTTGAAATGTCGTTTATAAAAACTATAAAAAATATTGGGCCAAGTAATGTGCCTTGTGGGATGCCTACTTCATTTCTTTTGCATTCGGAGGTAGCCCCATCGATAGCTGTTGTTTGATACCGATCCGCCAAATATGAGACTATCCAGTCATGTGGTTTTCCTCTTACACCTATACCTTCAAGTTTTTTTAATAGTAAGTCATGGTCTATTGAATCAAATGCACGAGTAAGGTCATAAAAAATACCTATAATATGTTGTTTCCGGTTAAGTTCTTCATATATATATAGTTTATACATTCTAAGATTGCTGTGTTAGTTGATTTGTTAGCTCTAAACCCCCATGCTGGCTGTCTGAGATTATCTTAAAGTATTCGAGGTATTTTACTAGTCTAGTGGAAAAAGCTGCCTCAAAAATTTTAGCTATTTGACTCTGTATACATATAGGGCGGTAATTTTTAGGGTCTGTACAGGAGCCTTTCTTTTTATAGATTGGGATGCATTTAGACTCTTTAAGATCCGGAAAAGTTCCGGTAGTGAATGATAAGTTAATTAGGTATGTAAGCGATATACATATGTGTTCAGCGACCACAGCCAGAATTTTACCATTTATATTGTCTGAACCAGCGGAGGGTTTAGTAGTAGTTTTTTTCAGTAAAGTTATTACTTCTTCTGGGACTACTGGTGTGAGAAAGAACCCGTTAGGAAAATTTACCGTTTGAATACTAGCATTGCCTTCTGGTTTGGGACAGGTGTCAGCTAGTCCCACAAAATAGTTATTTAATGCATTACTCTAATATTATTTATCCTATCATTTGAAAATATATTGTCAATAGAGGTTTGGCTAGTTTTTGTTACTCTTGTAGGTTCATTAATGTGGTGTTTGATATTGTATTCTAAAAATAAATTAATCAATTCATTCCTGGTTCTGCTCCCTATTAAAAAATCTATGTTAATATCCCCACATAGGATATATTTGTCTTTATCGTTAAAGTATTTATGTAAAAATTTATATAAACTACACATGAAAGCATCATAATCGTTACCTGTTCTATATACACATACAATGTAAGTGAAGTATTTTGCCACTGGGTCTTTTGTTTTTGATAAACATACTTCGAAAGTTTGTTCTATAGAGTGTGCGAGCGTAATATGTTATTAACTTAAAATTATCGAGGTTTACCACGTTCATCTCATCTTCTTGTAGCCAGTGCTCACTTACACAGAGTATGTCTACTTGTTCTTCATCCAATGTTATGCTTAGTGAGTCAAGTTTGTTACCAAGTCCTTGAATATTGAAGTGCATTACAGTGAGATTTTTCCTTCCTGACTTATTTATATAAAAGATGAAGGCCGGTTGTCTCCATCAGAATTTGTTGTTCGTTTTTGATTTAGTCGATCTAAAAATTTTCTTCCTCTTCTAAAATCAAATCTGTCAAAAACAATCTTTCTGGGCCAAAAATTTGGATCATAGATAGTGTCTTGATGCTTGGGTGTCACTCCAATCATAAATGATTGATTATCCAACAGTGTGTTTTGTGTACTTAGTTTTTTCACGTCAATCTCTTCTTGAGACGAACTTGTCTTTGTACTAATAAATTTCTTGATACTTTCTCCAGAGACATTATCAGGTACCTTGGTGATAAATAACCAGATAAAACTGAGATTCTAGAGAAAGATTGCTGTAGATATTTGTGATTGCCTGTGTTATAATAATTGTTTTTTTTTATATTAAGTATTAGTAAGTATATATACAAAGATGGAAGTTTTAGGATTTTAAAGTCATAAAAAAATTTGCCTCAAAATTGTACTTCTCAAATTTTCGAATTTGGTCATACATACCTAATTTGTATTTTATATAGATAAAATTAAATAATTTATCAATTAAAACATGCAAGACTTATTGAGAAATAAATACAACAGTATGTTCTGAGCTTTATTTAGCTATAAACATGTTTATTTTTATTATTTTGACAAAATTATATATAATTCCCATAAGAAGCCATGTATTTTGAACACCGTATGCAGTACCAGCGCCCATACGGTTAATTATAGAAGCTTAATTAGCATGCTTTTTTTTGGAACCGTATTTTGAGTATGCCGGTTCGTCTCCTTATCTCTAGTCTTCATAATAGGAACATCTCGCTAATAGAAGCTGTAGTCTTTTTCATATTAGCTTCATTATCAGTTATGATAGCTATACACTTATTAGGGTTATACTGATTGAGTACATTCACAGTTTCTGTAGCAATATATTCTGAAGTATGGCGATGTTCTTTTGTCTCTAAACTTTTGATGCAAAACGTTTTTTGCTCTGCTGTTGTTACAACAAAATTAATGATGCCATCTGATCTTATATTCGACCATCCATCTATGTTATGTTATGTTGATAATGGGGTGTTAATACACTGCGACCTAAAAGATCTATTATGCCCCCTTCTGTCGCCACTGCACTAAGGAAATGTCTCAATGCCTATAGCGACCCTTCCAGTCCTATTTTCTCAAGGAAGTGTAGGATTTGAAGTGGCTTCAAGTTAGGTAAGTCTCCCTCTTCTATTTAATATCCTCCTAGATATAGTGCCCTTGGATTCTGGAGTGCTACACATTCAGTTAGGATGTGAATGGAGGTTTCGTCCTCCTCCTCCTCACAGAATCTGCACTCACTATCCTCTACTACTCTCAGTTTACTTAGGTGTCCTTTTAGTCGGCAGTGCCCGGTAAGGATCCCTGTTACAATACGTAGCCTGTTCTTGCTCAGGCAGATGCAGGCTTCCGATCTTTTTTGGTTATATTCACCCAGAAGTATCTTGGCCTGTCTCAGTCCCAAGAGATTGTTCCAATTATTGGTTCTTTTACTACCCAATTCTTTTTTAATCTCTTCTAATATTATGTTACTGCTGATACCGCAGAACGGCTCAGGTCCTACAAAGGGTGTTTGAGCCCCTTTCCTTGCAAGACTATCTGCAATCTCGTTACCCTGTACCCCGTTATGTCCCGGGACCCAAGTGAGAGTAACTCTATTTTTCTCGCCTAGCTCATTCAATTGTTCTAGGCATCTCCATACCATTTTTGAGCTGATTACGTAAGAACTCAGCGCTTTGATGGCTGCTTGACTATCGGACATGATGATAATCTCTTGTCTATGATAGTTTCTCTCGATGTTAAACTGGATACACTTCTCGATGGCGTGAATTTCCGCCTGGAAGATGCTTGGGTATTTTCCCAAGCTTTCGGAGTGCTTGGTTCTCGGCCCATACACTCCTATTCCTGTTCCTTCTATGGTTTTGGAACCGTCCGTGTACCACTGAATAGCACGTCTTTCGGTTGCAAGCGCGATGGATTCTTGGCTCCATTCTTTCTTGCAGCCCAGCTCTGTGGTTTTGAAGTTTTTCACAAAACTGTACTTCTTTTGCATTTCATCCTGGGGCATGTCCCAGGTATCTTTAGTCCTGAAGCAAGTAGACTTTCGTCTGATTACTCCGCTCCTGATATCGTGTCC